GAAACCCCCAAGCAGAGCAATTGGAAGGTTACACACCGCCTCGCCTCATGTGTGAGATTCAAGAAGGGAAAAAGAAAAGATACGTTTCGTACCGTTAACGGATTGAACAAGGTCAATCAAATGTAAGGTAAGAAGTTGAAACTTAGAACCGGGCCCACAAGGTCAACTAAGTCTAAGTATCAACATGTGTGTGGACATGTATGTACAAAGCATGTATGTATCTGGGTTCTTAGCATCATCGTGGCCATTTTGCTTGGATCCACATGTTCCTCATCAACTTCCAAGCTTGCGTTGCAAAACAAGTGTCTAATTCGTCTAATTGTCTGATGGTCTAGTTGTCTGATGGTCTAGTTGTCTGATGGTCTAGTTGTCTGATGGTCTAATTGTCTGATAGTCTAATTCTACCAAAACCACTTTGTATCAAGAAATACAATCTTAACTTCGACTTACTACTTAGTAAGTTGCTCATAAGTTGGTAAGCTAGTAAATCGATATTGTATAATTAAATCCCAAGCTTGGTACTCTTCAGGGTCTCAACATATACACTGTCGTATTCAAAATATGTCACAGTATCAAGCAATTTCCCTGACGCTAATGTAACTTTAATCTGATCTTGGTTGCCGCATTTCGTTCGCCTTGCTTGAAATGATAGGTCGAAAATTAATCTGACATTTCCTTAAATCTTCGAATCCATCTTTTACAGACCACAAACTTTACATGCCAATGCTAGACAAAATATCCATTTAATTGCGAGATTGCCACACACTTCAGATCAATCCTCTTAGAATGGATGATCAAGTTGCACCGCCCTGTGAAAATTGATATGTGAGTACGAAGTGAGAAGCTAGTCACAACAATCCAATAAGTTTAATGTATACAAATGTATAACCTTACTACCGCATATCTGAAGTAACAAGGCTACCATTCAAATTCACACAAAAATGACCCGAAAAATCTTAAGGTTGTAAGGTACATGATCTTCGTCCCAAAATGTCTCAACTGGTCCAGAATCTTCGATTGCTACATGGAATACCAAGATGGGGATGCTTGATATCCGATTCCATTAAAAATTCATCAAGGAGTACCCCAGCGGCCCCAGCGTCACTCTATTAGTATAAATGTACCTTCATCTCACCATTTTGAATGAGATAAAGTTCCATTGAACGAGGATCCGTGGAATCGTACAGCCTTATTCTCCGATCGGCATACAAATACGGTCAATCTTTTACCTTTTAGTAAATAGAGCCTTTTGAGAAAGCTGTGGTCAACATTTCACAAAAATGTGGTCCTGGGAACTTAGCCTGGTGTCACAGGGGGTATCGCGGATTCCCTGTTGTGCTGGCAGAATATCGGCTGACCATATCAAATGGTCTAAAAATCGAGGATAATCTGTATGTACAATGCCTATTCCGTTGTTGTGCAGCAAGAATATACAGACCATTGACCCTGACTACGTCTCAAATGTCCGGCTTGAGTGTGAACATGTATTGAGAAAATACTTGGGGAGAGTAACCAGCTAAAGAAGTTACACAAATCCCATTCCTAAACCTCTCACGTACCTGACCTCATTCGCCTGCATCTCCAATGCTCTTCTCATAGTTTCTGAATGGGTATGTTCTTCCTTTTCCCGCAGAGCCTCCTCAGCAGTCTTGGGGGTTTCTTCAAAAAAGTCGGCCGTGAACCCAGGTTTGTTAGAGAAATTTAGTAGCCCTATTTTGTCTCCCGTCCACAAAACAAGGTCATTTTCGTTGACCGATCGATCATGGAGCCCAGAGTCAGTTGTCAAAATCTTGAGCGCAATGTCTCCAGATCCAGAATCCATGTAAGAATCGCCCAATGTGCCAAATATGCCTCTCGGGGCTGCAACAGAGCCGTGAGCAATGTTCCATCTTCGTGACTCGGTAAATCCATCCCTCTCAAACCATTTCAGATTGCCCCCACCGTCAGAAACAACAATGCGGGTACCATGATTGGCAACAGATAAGAGTTTTGAGCTGGATGATGTTTGACGATTCTTCATGGTAGAATCTTGCAGGCGCCCGGCAGAAAATTGGGAAGATATATTGGAGAGATTCGGGTCAGGTGATAGACCGTACATCTCCAAAGAGCCTTTACTGTTGTACTCACCACAAGCAATCAACGTTTTCCCTGGTCTAGTTTTTGCTTGCCATACTTGCTCGACAGACAATTCACCCCGACGGGCAAGGTCTTTCTCCATGGAAGCAAAAGGATATGGAAGACTAGCAATTTGAGATAAGCGTGCGCCAGAATGAATCGTTCCGCGGAGCTTAGGAAAATTTCTGCGATCATAATTGAGAATGCTAGGAAATCGACCGGCAACGTATATATCTCCATTACCATTCCATTCACTTCCTGCACTGGGTAGATGAACAATACTGAGCGGGCCCGGTTGGTACAGATGTGCGTACTCGGCGCTTGGTTCTGGATCTAGCAAGCTTTTGAAACTAAAATGATTGCTAGCAGAGCCAGGTGTGCCGCTAAAAGAATCAAGTCGCTCAGCCTGGCTGGGCGATCCAACATTTGTTCTTTGACGAGAATCATGAAGGTAGAGAGATAGATTGGTTCCCACAGTGAGAGGTGTTGGATGTTTTGCCTCGGAAAGAGCAGTGATAGAAAATGGATATCTCTCATGATTAACTGTCTGTAAGGTCTCAAGATCAACTTCAACAAGACCTGTGGTAAAGTCAGTAGCTATTAGAGGAAGGGTAATAGACTCCATCTTCCAGATAGATTTAACATGAGATTGAATGATCGAGAACCCTTGTCATCAGATCACCATTTCAAGTAATCGAAACGTTGCTTTAAGGCAGTGTAGCTTTCAGAGGAGAATTCTACATACCACTTTGAACAGCAACATAGGCTCTCTTTAAAGTACTGTCAACACTAATACATTCTGTGACACCTGTACTTATCATTTTTGATCTTGACTTGAGATCTTTTGGGTTCTCATCCACGGACAAAATCCCTGACTTGCTCCTTGCAATAATGCTACCCTTTTTGGGGGCATCAGTACTGATATCCCAGATACAAATGGAACCATCATCAAGAGGTCTATGGCATGGCATTTAGTACAATTCTCATCTCATAGTATATGCCAATGAGAAACTAAAGAACTTACGCAACCACCATCGTGGTTCTAGTTTCTCCCATGGGTGTATACAACGCCATTCCTCGTACCTCCAAATGTTCATGAGCAGCGCTTTCGCGATGTCGAGGCTGTTGCACCCAACTTGTTGAAATTGGCGCATTTCTCGCTATGTACTCATCATACCATTTAACCTTCTCAGTCGGATAACTCGGATCCCAATTCGCCAATATCCTAACCCGCTCATTGGACTGAGCTTTGAGGTCGCGAGCTTCATGACGAGGTTTATGTAGTCTCGAATCGCCTGTTCCGTTGTTCGTAGCAAGAGCTATGGCTAAATCCCGCATACCTGACTCGTCCTCTGACTCTGTAGATATTAATTCTTGACGTCTGCGAAGCCTTTCGAGAAAGGAAGAATGGGTAAAACATTGCTCTCGCCACAGTGTATCATCGCGACCCAATTCCAGGTATCGTTTGGAAACAAATTGCAGTTTGACGATATCTGAAGGCTCTAGATCTATCAACGTGAACAATGTTAGCATTCGATTCTCATTCCGAGGATGCGAGAGAAAATTCACATGAAGTAATATTTAGAACTATCTCTGAAGGGAGGTCATCCATTTTGGTCAATCTTTTATAATAATTAATAAGAATAAGAATAAGTAGCTATATACTTGTATAGAAAGAAGGAATGTTAAGAATGTTGAACTTGAACGTTGAAAGACTGACCCTGACATCGAGATCATAATCAGTCAACCTTGAGCTTCTAGCCGATCCGATAAGGCCGATTATGCAAGGGTCGGTGAATGATCTGTGCACGAAATAGACCTCATAGACCTCATAGACCTCTCGAGCTTCTCACGTGTTTCTCTATCTCAAGTCTCTTCAACCCCACGTGCCCCACCAAATGAATGTCTTCGAGCGACTTGTCGGCAGGAAATCATTAACCCCCCGAGGTCGGCAGCTTTTTTTTCATTGGGTGGGCTCTTCTAGATCACGTGATCAAACACTTGGACATTGAACATTGAACATTTACGAATACCGGTATCTTCTTTGTCCACGAGACGGGTATCAATGTAACAAGGCGACCGAAGATACTACATATCAAAATCTCGAATGCAGCTTCAATTTGATTGAGCTCAGTGTTTTTGAACGCCCATGTTCATCTTATGAAGTCATATAGATGCGCACTAAACTATAAAGTTCCTATCTCTCAGCTCTTAACCTTAGCAATTGCAAGCTACACAATTTTATCTTGAGGATCACACATCCTTTCAAGCTATCAATGTATTTGGAAGTCATAGTCATAGTATTGATCCTTCATGCCAAGCCCTTTGCCATTCTTCCATCGTAGGCTGGCACCTCAATTAGAATAGCAGCACCGGAATAGAAGCACATGATGCTTGATTCATTCCCATATGCTATTGCATAGAATGCAGGAATACTGGTACCTCCACTACCATTAAGCCAAGCTACATTCTCATACTTCTTATGCGGCCATTCCCGCTCGAGATACTACGTTATCTGGTAAGCGGATTGGAATCGTATTGACAGATTCGGGGATGCTAAGCGCTTACCTCTTCAAGATTATCTCGATATTGTGAGTTGAAGTCACTGTCCACGGCTGTATGGAATTGAGTTCCTGCTCGAGTTATATGTACCTTGTCTTTGCCTTCACTCTCATCATCACTTTCAAATTCGCTGTTGCCTTCACTCTCATCCTCAGAGTAATCATCAACGTGCAGCACAGGACAGGCTTTAACCACTAGACCAAGCGATTGAAACGTGTTAAAGATGATCATATCAATACCCTTCAATGCATATGGCATAATGTCATCTGCGTCTTTTTGAGTATGGGCATATAGATGGTCACAATAAAATCCAATCACACCACCTAACAACACGTCAACGATACCTTCCGACATGGTAGAACAATAATGTACATACCTCTTTTCATAAAACCAGGTTGGTCCAAAACATTTCTCGCAACTTCATATAACGGCGACAAGGTCGGATCTGCTACCGGGTTCTTTTGTAAGGGGATACCAATTTGCTGCGAGATATAGAGATTATAGGTCAATGTCACACGATGACCACTCGTGACTTCGTGTACCTCGTGCTCGCAGTCACTATAGAACGCAGCCCATTGGATGCTGTCCGATTTGTTGCTCCAATCAAAGAAAGTGTTAGAGCCTCTGTGGGTGACGCGCAATTGTCCACCTGCATGAAATTAGCTCTATCTTTATCACAAAATGCGAGAGAGCAACGAGTCGGGGAGAGAAATGGATATACTGACCTTGATGAGAATATGGAAGACAGACGACTAGAGAACCAAACTGTCTCGTGCCACGTGGCGTGTCCACATGTGCTTTAAATTTTCCGCTGGGGCCAGAATAGATCTGAACCACATTGTATTCTGTCAGTCGGGCTTTGTCCACGAAGCTTTACATTATCCCCGACGAACGGCACTTACATTGAGCTTGTATAATTCGGCAAGCACACCTCGATGATCCCTCCTGTTCCGCAAAAAGTCTTTCTGAAAAACATCCTGTAGTAATGTTTGAGCAATGATATCAAGGATTCCATAGTCATGCGGATGGAAGTCGGTGGAAAACTGGCTTCTATCGAGCTTTCCGGCTTTACGATATGTTTCATCAAGCACATCCTTTCCTCCGAGACCAAACGACGCCGGGACACAGGTCTGAAGGAGCGCTTCCATTGACTTGGAAGTCGTGGAAACAGGGAATACTATCTTCTCGCATACATTTCCTGGCTTGGGGTCCCAGCGAAGCACGACCGGGGGTACTTGTTGTTGAAACGCTTGGTCGAAATCTAATCGAGAACTAGGTCAAATTTGTCTAGATATTAAATAGTAAGGTTTGGACTGGAAAGAAATTACTTGCCTTCTGTGGGCTCTTTCTGGTTGGAAGACGAATCGTCAGGGGCTGCGATAGGAATGCTACCACCGCAGCAATAATTTGCACTCTCAGATATATCCACAGCTTTTCCCAATTCATGGAGAAGCTCTTCTTCAGCGAGCCCTGTCCAGCTTTTTGTCGACATAATGAAATGAGGAGTCTCTTTCTTTTTATTGACTAGAGGAAGAAATTTGAAAATGAGAAGAATGTTTTGGGAGGGGCAAAATATATACTTCAAGTTAAGGTATACTATGATGTTTTGCCTCCTCACCTTGATTTAGGCAGACTGCATATGTTGTGAGTCAAGACGCGTTTGTGACGCCCGACCACATGATTGATGGACAAAAAGTTGATTTACAGAAGCAAAATGGCTCAATTGACTGTAAAAAATCAAAGCGGTGAGATATAATTCAGGGTCCCTCCAGTAATTAAGCATCAATCTTACCATAACAGTGATTTTGATACATCTGTGTAACCTACGCAGGGATATCGACAGGTAACAATTCAAATAATCGGATGATGATTCTGCCGGTTTAACCTTCAACATTTCTTCAAAAAGTCGAACTTGGAAGAGTTTAGCAAATAAGCACTGATAAGTCTGTTCCAGGACTTTACTTTCATATCATATTGGTCTCACGGACAGCTGTCTAGAGGTTACATATATTGGGGACTGTCGAACGCCTCGATTGCTCAAATATCACAGGTAGGTCTTGACAATATCCGTTTGGCGTTATTGATCTGTCCAGCAGTGATTTTATGCTCATAGTCGTTTTCATTGTGCCGCAATTGTACAGGCTTCGTGTGTCATGCATGCATCAACTGCTGAGGGTGAGGAATATTCTGCAATCAAACTTTCTATCTCATTTCGGCTGAAGCTATGATGAAGTTCTTGTTCCCTTGGTCATTTTATTTATCCAAGAACCTATCAACTACCTGTTTCGGGCAAAGTTCTGCGTGGTGTTTGTTTAACTACATACTCATAGGTCCTTTGCATTTCCCTATGTGAGATAGTAAGTCTTGAAAGAGAGAAATGTTTCCTGTTCAGAGATGAAATTTTACAGTGATGCAATCTTCAAAATCGTATAAATGTTTCTACTGCCAATGAATGCAAATAAAACGGCTCTCTTACACGCAGAGTAGGTTTTGCCTTTCTCAACGCGTGAGTGTGCGAGTTATCTATACACGATCTTTCTTTTCTATACAGATAGGTAGTGAATCTTCATACAAATCTGATTTTACCAATCCTAAAACTTACGCATATAGTACTGTATAAGCACTCGCAAAAACCCAGCCCTTATACAAGAAGGTATTTTATGCTTCTATCTTTATGATTGTCGTCTAGCGATTTCGTTCAATAACCGATACCACACCGCGTATTGGTGTTTTCCCCCGATGATATATCAGAAAGGAAAGTCTGAACTTGAAGTTAGTGTGCTAACATCCAATGGTTCGGTTCATAACTTGATATTGCAACCTCATATGAAGTGCCACGCTACCCACACACTACATGTCAAGCAACCTCAAGTCCTAGCACAACTATGTCTCAGACGTACTACACAACAATGATAACAATAATAAAGAAAGCGAACCTTGACCGAACTCCCAGTACAACAAGGTCTGTAAAATTATCAACAATAATCAAATAAAGCCACAAAAGCAATAAACAAACCCTCCCCCTCACCATCACAATCCCATTCTTCTCTCTCAAGCACTCCGTCCAATCCTCCTCCCAGAAGCAAAAACCAAACCAACACAAACAGACCCCCTCCCCCAAAACCCAACCCAAACCACAAACATGCGCGACTCCCCCAGTCAGCGAGTTCCTGAACCACATCTTCGACCTCATCGGCGAGCTCATGCAAGTCAAACTCCGCATCACACAACTCGCCAAACGAGAACGCGAAGCCCAGCAAATCTTCGCCCACGGATCCCAGAAATTGCACGAGCGGGCCGAGCGAGTGCAAGAGAATAATTCCCGTCATCTTCGTCTTCGACGGGAAATTCGAGCGCAAGAGAGCGGTTTTGCGCGGGGGCGCAGTTGTCGGGTCGGTGTTTGTTTCGGTGCTTTTGGCGCGGATTTGTGAGATTTTGTAAGGTTTGAGATTTTAGCTAGGCTTGGGAATTTTCGGAGTTGAGTGGGTGTTCCATTTAGTCTTTGGTCTTTTTTTCATTTCTGTCTACTTACTTTTCGATCGCACAATCTTCTAGTTAGTTTAGTTGGGTATTCGAGACTCCTTAGAGCTATTTATTTCTTAAATGATAGATAAACCTACCTAAATAAAAATAATAAATCCAATCTCCTCTCCCCTCCCCTCCCCTCCTCTCCCCTCCTCTCCCTCCTCTCTCCCAAACCTCCATCAAACCAAGTACCACACAACCAACTCAATCCCAAAATCCATACACCAAACAACCCATTCCACGCACCTCACAATCATACACTCCCTCCTAGTATCACTATCACTACCAGCTTTCCGTAGATAGATCTGCATAATATAATATAATATAATATATAAATACATACATACATCAATATCAAGAACAAGACGTCAAACAATACAAATCTACCCCTTTTCCAAGCCCTCCAAGCAAAACCTCAAGTTTTCATCCCTCCCAATGTGTTATAATATTTTCTTTCTTTCATTCCTTTCCTCCTCCCCCCATCTTATTTCCCATATACTCAAATACACTACATCCATCCACACTACACCCATCCATACCTCACCTAGATATCTACTATCTACACCCACTTACACTTACACATCCACATCACCCACTCACCCACCAACCCACCCAGCAAAACACAATACAACACAATACAACATAACACACACCAGCAAAATCCTCCTCTCCTCTCCTCTGTAATCCCCCTCTAGGTACTTACCTCCTCTCCCCTCCATTCATTTCAATATTCATCTGATGTGCTGTAATATATGTACCTACATATATCAACTAACAACTATCAACTATCAATTATCAACTATCAACCAATCACATAATATATAGAAGAGATAGAATAGACCAGAACGGAGCAGAAAGAGAGAGAGAGAGAGAGAGAGATACCGCACTACCCGCTATCTCATTCTCATTCTCATCCTCCTACTCATTCTCACCCCCCTACAAATAACAATTCCACAGCCCCAAGCGCCAAGCCCCAACCCCCTTAGATCAAATCCACCAAGTATCAGTCGCAATCCACGTACATGAAGAAGTGATATCTATCACAATGAGAGGGAGAAGTACTGAATGAAGTAGATTAGGTAGACAATGCTATAATACCAAACAACTCAATAAATGATAACCTCCTACAAAGTCCAAACCGAACACAAGACAGGTGTAGCCAAAAAAAAAAGTAGTCAAAATTAACATTAATTACTTTTTAGAAATAGAATGTGTACTAAGAATCTATCCATCTAAAGTACCTGGGTAAAGTCATCATCGTTTCGTTTGGGTTCGCTTCAAATGGGATATCATGCGTGGTCTGTGTTCCTTTCCTTTCCTTCCTAACCTGCTATCAGGTTATCCAAATCCCTACCTTAACCGGCTTCTCCAATCCTATAATCCAGATAGTATATCATAGCTCGTGAGTACCTCCATTTCCTATCCAACCCATCAAGCCATCACTCATCCAATCATCCAACCATATTCCAACCCCCCCTCCACCTTCAACTTCACACTCCTACACATCTTCAACATCCGGTACGTAAACCCCCTCCTTACACGCCACCACCACTCTCTTAAAGAATCGTCTCCACTCCAAAGGATCTCCCTTAACCTTTACAAATCTCACCTCCACCAACTCAATCTCTTCCGTCTCATAAGAATCCAAAACAATTTCTCCATTCATTCCACATCTTCTACTATCTACCGCTCGTACCTTGATCCAAGCTGCATGCAATTGACTACTTTGCAACTGTGCCAAGGGTGGTACTGGTATATTCATCGCATGTAAGGATTCAGAAAGAAGAGTCAGCAATTGAGGAACAGGGAGATGGGAAAAGAAACGCGTAAGCGAGTAATTCGGGAGAATGTCTTGAAATTGACGAGCATGTTGTGTGAGACGAAGGGAGACGGTAGGATTGGATGAGAATTGAGACATGGAAGGTTCATCTGCGAGTGTGGCATCTCCATGATTCGATGCCACTGGTGATGGAAGTTGGAAATTACAGGTAGTCTCGGCGGGTTGAGATGTGGGTAACACACGGGGTGGACGTTCCCAGTCAAATTGCATATCCATGACTGGAGCTTCTGGTTGCGTGAATGCAAAGTTATGACTATCGAGTTGCATTGCATCTTGACTAAGTTGTGATGCACTTGGCTTTTGCTTGAAGTCGATACGAAGATTTGCTAACATTTGAGTAGCAAGACCTAATGGATCGCTCATCTTGCCATCGGTGGTGAGCAGTGGGTTCTTGCGCGTATACCATGGATGGCGTTTGATGTGTTCAAAATTAAAACGTTTGGATACATCGACATTCATCATGCCTCTTAGTAATGATAGAACCGAAGATGGCAATCTTCGCCATAATTCATCTGAACTTCGTCCATTGGATTTTACGTATTCATCGAATTCCCAGCTTTCAGAAGTAGGTTGGTCCCAAGGTGTATTTCCCACCAAGAGCACAAATAAGACGACCCCGCATGACCAAATATCCACCATATTTGCAGCGTATCCTGCACCCTTCACCTTGGTTTGAGTACTCCTAGAGCAAGAGATGACTTCCGGTGCAATGTATGGAGGACTACCACACATCGTCGTACTAAGTTTTCTCGCTCCATTATATTCAAATAGTGTTGCCAATCCAAAATCCGCAATCTTCAAATCGCCACTACTCGACAGTAATATATTCTCAGGCTTGATATCTCGATGTCCCACCCCCTTTTGATGCATGTAGTTTACTCCGCCAATCAATTGTGTAAAGTAGAAATGTGCAATATCTTCTTTGACTCCAACATCTGCTTCGATTTTGTCGAATAAGTCTCCTCCCTCTGCATACTCCATGGCAATCCACTTCCACACAGCATCTTCGCCCGTGGCGAACCACTCTATAATATTTGGATGTCGTCCAATATGGGAATGCAGTGAAACCTCCATGGCGATTTGCTTCGACGAAATCCGGCCATGTTTGACTGCATAAGCTTTATGTATGAATTTGACTGCGAATACTGGAGTGGAATCAGTTGGAGGGATGGCTTTCTTGATTCTACGTAATTATTTATTAGCATACACACAGATATGTTATATAATTCCGAATATAGCACAGAGCCCCGAGCTGGCATTGTAATTTTCTCGACTTACGATGCATAGGCACCGCGACCTATTGTTTTCGAAATGATTCGAAAGGGTAGGTCGCGGGGCAGCGGGTCCATCTGTGACATCTGCATTGCCATAACTTTTCGATTGAGAAGAACGACGGTAAAAATGGACGAACGCGGGATGGATGTCTTTCCCAACCCCACCACTTGATTCCAAACGTAGGTAGAGAAAGAAAACGAATGAAGCTACGTGGGTGCCAATGGAAGAACCTTGGGAGAATGGGTACTAGAGGAGAAACTTATCCAATTAACCATCCAAGAAGTGGGAATTATTGAGAATTATTGAGAATTATTGTGAATCCCAAACTATTGACCGTTTTCTTATAAACCAATTAAATTATTATTACAGACGGGGTCTTTGAATGTATGAAGCGCGTCTCGAAGCGTTTTGAAGCGTCTTGATGCGTGTTGGTTTCAATTAACACGTCAAGTCGCGAATCACGAAAATTGGTGACTGCTTACTAGGTAGGCAGGGAAGGTAGGGAAGTATGTCTTAACCGTCCACCATAGTATTGGAGAGGCAGATCGATCTCGTACTAAAGACTCAATACAGTCCGTTCGCGTTTCTATGGCTACCTACCTACCCTGCCTTCCTGCCTAAAAAAAGAGAAAGTCGAAATAAACAAATCCCAATCAAGTTCAACCTCCAATCCGACCTCGTACTTCATTACGAGTAAAAACATCAATCCTTTCTTTCCTACATAATAAAACACCCTTTCTTATATCTATCTTCCTTCACTTCACATCCCATCACCACTCTTCTGTACATTCACCACACATCTACACCAAAAACTTCAAATCGAAAAAAAAATCTCCCAAAAGGTTCCCAAAAGAATTTCTTTATTCCTCTTCTCTTCTCTTCTCTTCTTCCAGAAATACCCACCGTTTGCTCCTCTCCACACAATTGCCAATTGCCAATTGCTTTCAGATTGGCATTTCTTTTTATACATTCCCCATCGACTAAACCACCTTTGTCCGTTTCTGTCTCTCTTTTACTCTAGCACCACTTACTGATCAATTTCTTAGTTACAAATACTTCCCTCACTTATTAATTGGATTTTTGCATTCCCTATTCTTCCTTCAAAAAATCCCAAAAAATATCATCATCATGAATTACGCCATGGAGGATACACAGAACACTTCCCCCGGCGACGTACCACCTGCTCAAGCTGCCAAACTTGCTCCTCGCAAAGGTCCCGATGCTCAGAGTACCACCAAACGGTTTGTTCCCCCTTGCATATCCTGACCGCTTCCCAGATCAAGTCCTGCATTCCAGAAATCCAATACTAATCCCTCATTCTATCCTGCCAGTCTTCAAACCGAATTAATGCAACTCATGACCTCTGCCGCCCCTGGTATCTCCGCGTTCCCTTCCGCAGATGGCAATCTTCTTTCCTGGACCGCGACAATCGATGGGCCAGATGATACTCCATATGCGTCTAAGAAATTCAAGTTGTCTTTTGCGTTTCCATCCAACTATCCTTATGCACCACCAACCGTTCTCTTCAAGACTCCTATCTATCACCCCAATGTCGATTTCTCCGGTAGGATTTGCTTGGATATTTTGAAGGATAAGTGGACCGCCGCTTATAATATTCAAACGGTGTTGTTGAGTTTGCAGAGTCTCTTGGGCGAACCTAATAAGTACGTTTGATAAATTCCGGAACGAGTGAGTGAGTACAAGATCAGAGCTAACATACATCTACAGTGCATCACCATTAAACGGCGAAGCCGCCGAGTTGTGGGACAAAAACCCCGAGGAGTTCCAAAAGAAAGTTAATGGTCGTCACCAAGACATTGATGACGAATAGGTTTTAGGGGGAGGAGGAGTAAAAAACATCGTCATTCAGATACCCGGCGTCAACATGTTTATGAATTGGAGATTGTGCATAATGGACTTTGGTCTATGTCTCGGCTCGGGCATTGGGTTATTGCTGCATTCTCAGGATAGTACAGGAGGGGCGTAGTCCTATTGGGACTTCGAAAGTTGTATCCTTATTTTGGACCTTCAATCAATACAAATAAACGCATTGTTAAATATTTTTGAACTCTACTTGATGTGCATGACTTATGACGTGAGACTTACTTCATGCAACCTATTTCCACTGACGATTTTGACCTAGTCTAATAACAGTCGCTTTTTACATAGGGCGTAGCGATAAGGAAACCTTCCAAAGGACCTACCTAGGCCAATGCACAGACTAATCTTCTTATTACCCTTGATTGTCAACTCGGCCCTTAAACCACTCGTCCACTGGCCATAGCCATGTTGATTTTACATGAGCAGTTCATTTTGGGGTTTCCAGGGTTCTTTGCCATCGCTCAAGGTCGCAAACGTGATAAATATCGCTGTGGGCTATGTGTGATGCGCGGTGGAATGGAACAAGAAATAAAACATTCAGATATTCTGCAGGAAAGTCTGGCAATGTGGTATCAAGATTTGAAGATTCCTATGCTCAATGAAATATGGGAACTGCAAAGCTCGCAGAAATTATGTCGAAGGGGGTTTCTGATGCATCACTTGTTTGCATGCTTCGATGGCCCAAGAGTAACCTCACACTATTTCCACTGCACATTTGCATGGCCTGGAGAAGCATCACTTCCCCAACTCCTCGGAAAAAGACCCCATCTGCCTTTTCCCAGCCTCATAGCACAGACCAATATCACAAGTGCATGAAAATGTTCCCACAACAATTGACTGCATTTAGGTATCGAAAGTTAGACCTTTTCATTTTCCGCTACCTTAGCAAGCAGAAATGCAGCAACTCCAGAAGTATCCCCCATGCCATTTGATTTTTATCATTTATGCATCCTCAACGACAACGGTGTGAAGACCCTTGGGGTTTTGGACGTTGACGGCTTGGACGTAACTGTACAACTTCTCCTTGGCGCCCTCCTCGTCGTTACGCTTTCTCGAGATTCGTACGCGGAGTCTGAATGGAACACCCTTGATACCAGCTTCCCAGACCTTCTTGTTCAATTGGGGATCGAGACGGACATCGGTGGTACCCTATAAATTAATGAAATACCAACATCAGTATTATTTCCTTGTTGTATCCTCCTGCCGATCTTTCTAGATGGATATCCATACCATTGACAAAGTAGCGAATGCCTTGATCTCCTTGATGGCCTTTGGGGCACGCTTCTTGAAAGAAACACCATGTAACTAAAACAAAACTATCAGTCTTCTGCCTCTTTTCGACGCCCTATTTTTTCGCAATTTCGACATACTCTCTTGTGGAGGTGGATGGTGTACTCGCGCGCAACAACATCAGCGATGGCGGATCTTTGGGCCTTGCCGCCGGTCTTCTTGGTGGTCGTCGACATTTCTGAGATATTTGTTAGAATTGAGAGATTTCGATTTTCGATCTTCGATTGATTCGGCTGGGAGGTATATTAACGTACTGAAGGATTTGTCGCGAGATTTGTCGTGAAAAGTTGTCTTGTCTGAGCTTCAATAATGCAGTCTTAGAATTTCGAAATTCCTTCAGTGTGGAAGGCGCTAGTTAACCGAAAAGTTCAATAAATTGTTGATGCCTCATAGTTGATTACGTAACATTCCAAGGCCACAACCGCGAACCTCAGTTTGTCAATGGATTCAGTGCGACGCCGATAACATAACGTTTATAACTTCAATTTTAATTTGGACTGAGCGTCGCAAACTTAAAAATCTCCTCAGGTTCTAAGTTTTTTTTACAGATCCTATTCACTCTTTTAGTTTATCCTGACTTTCGACGTTCTTTCCAATCTTTCCTTTTCATTACCACGACAACAACAACTTCACAACAATCCTCCAATTTGCGACAACACCTGAGAACTCCTTGCAGAAGCAGAGCCAATAGTTCGACCAATACATTCCAATTCAGTACTCTTCGCTTTCCGATCAACCCAGTTCTGGTCTTGTCTCTGTCAACATGGCAGGAATCAGCTCCCCTCAACCCGATCTAAATCGGAATCGGCTTCCAACTCTATTCGAGGTACTCAGCAGAAGGACTTTACCCCCAGTGGATCTATTCTCCTTCTATATTTATATGAGAGATCAGCAGCGCTCTGTTGATTACCTTGATTTTTGGTTCGTGTTCCTTGCATTGAATTGTCTAATCAATCACTAACGTGAGGGCAGGCTTGATGTTGCTCAACATATGTCGTTATGCCGACACTATGTTCGCGAACTGCGACGATCTGTAATGATTGGTACACCTAAAGGCGACGATGCTCAATCCAAACGATCTTCTGCTGTTCTAGAAAATCTTGGTGATATGTCAAATCCCGCCGGACCATCCATGTTCACTACAGAAAAGGAGAAAAACCAAGATGCTCAGATGTCCGCCTTCCTCAGAGAACAATCTGATACTGGAGAGGTCGTTGCCCCACAAGGACACTCTCCTTCCCATAGTGTGGGATCCAATGTTTCCGGTCACAACCTGGGAAATATGTCTAGCGAAAGGCCTAGACCAAGTTTCATGAGCAGCCCTATGGATTTGACGTCAGATTCAAATTCTCCTGCACACACTGTCGCGAGAGCCGACATCCGAGCTTCTGCTGAGAAGATTCTCTATACTTTCCTCCTTCCAGGTGCCGAACGTGAGATTATTCTTCCACACGCCATCACCCAAGATATTACCATTTCTATTGAAGAAAGAGGACGCGACGATCCGGAAGTGTTTGATGCAGCCAAGGACTATGTTTTCCAAGCAATGGAAAGGGATGCTTTCCCAGGCTTCTTGAGAATGAAGGCTTTAGGCAACTTAGTCCCTCCTTCGATGATGTTGAGATTGATTGTTGGCCTACTTTCAATGTTTGCCGCATTCTGGGTCGGATTCATTCTAATCTTCCTCAACTATCCCCACCATACTCGTGTTTGGGTACGTATCTCACATTTATCTTTATACTCTTCATCTCCGTACTAACATGATCTTAGCTCCTTCTTCCCTTCACCATTGGTGTCTATGCACTCTGCTCTCACCAATATGCCCTCGATCCCATTCTTGCCCTGGCCGGGTACAGTGAATACACATTCATGTCTTTCTCCAAAATTCGAGAACCATTTGTTCGAAGGCTTCTCCACAAACGTGCACTCATGGTCCTAATGGTCACAGCTATCACCGATGCAGCACTAGTCCTAATATTTGCGTTGGTACCTGGAAAGAGATTGTAATATGAGGATCGATGGATGAAGGCTAATGCAGAAGTATAACAACTGCATGAAACATAAACAAAGCACGCTCGGAACTGGGATGGAAAGAAAGGGAGTTTTGGGAGTTCTGTTTATAGAGCGAGGTGTTCTGGGGACGAATCTTCTCTTTCATATTATGTGATTTGGGATTTTGTACACAGGGCTGGCAGACAGGCAGGATGATATCACAGGTTGATTTGATGGCGTTGAGTTGATTTGTTTTTATCATTTTGAAGGAACTTTATTTGGTTTTATATTCTTCTTCTCGAAAAAGACTGGATGTCACTACAAAGAGGATGGACGATTCCAAGATCCTTTTGATGACACCTCTTTTCTGGGGTTTTCCTTAACTTAACTATTTGTATGCGTGGGAGCTAATAGCGTGTCATTTTGATATCCTCTTCCTTCATACATTCAACGCATGATTATTTTCATATAGAAATCGCACAACCCGACTAAACCAATGTGAAAATGTATGCTCTGCCTTCTCCCTCTTCATACGCCACCTTGTATTTTAATCACTGATTCCTGCTTCCACGCCCGAAAACGAATTGGGGTATACCTCGCCACAACATAAGAAAACTTCATACGTATGGAACTATGATTTTCCGTAGGAAAATAACCTCCGGAGGACACCAGGAATTTTTTCTAGGCCTTCTGGGCTTGCTGACGTCGTTGAAGAAGCTAAATTTTCTGCGCTAAAGAATTGGTCAGTGAAGAGTCCTACTGGTCACAAGCTCGAAGCTGCGACAGCAAAACAACTCACTTCCCAAATCCTAACCCGCCAAAACCTCTCTTCTTCGAACTTCGTGTATCCTTATGCTGACCACCCATTGGATCCACGTCATCCATTTCCTCATCACTAGACTGTCCTTCTAATCGGTTGTGGCGTTTCCCAGACGATCTCGTCATTCTGCCTGTTAGACTTTGGATATTGCCCATGATACCAGTCGGTCCTGACGAATTCTCAGTGGGAGGAGTGGGTTCGAGGAGAGATTCGACGTGGGCGTTCCAATCCTGTTCATCGCGGTGACGGCGCTGGGCATCGGCTTTGATGGAGGCGATTTGAGATTCGAGGGAAGAGAGGGTAGTGGTGCAACGAGCGGACCAGGCGGAGAGAGTGGAGAGCATAGATGGGATTGTGGAGTGGGGAAGATCGCGGAGGGGTGAGACGGAGGAGACAAGTACGGTTTGATTATATGGGTCCAATGTACAAGTAATGAGACCAGCATATATAGCACTGATGACAAGATCTTCGAGTTCGCGGGGAGTGGAAAGAGCGAGGGCAGATTGGAGTTTGGGGTAAGTCAATTCTGCGGGGTTCTTGGCAAGGGTGAGAAAGGAAAGCTGGCGGAGTTTGAGGGTTTGAGCTGCGGAAAGGGTGGGGAGAGATGGATCGCTAGTGTAGTCGGCGTATGTGCCATAACTGAAGATCTTCAGGAGGGAGAGATAGGCTGCTTGCTCTGGAGGGGCGGTAGAAAGAGCTTGAATTTGGGGAGTGAGGAGAAGTTCGGTGAATATGTAGGTTCCTGGAGCATCAGTCGCTCGAGTGATCAGGTCGACAGCAGCGCGGGGTGATGTCGCAGATTTCGTAAGAGCTAGGAAGGGCTTGATACAGTTAGTACATTGGCGTCAATTGTGTGTAAATACAGTTGAAAATCATAAATACCTCCAAAGCATTCAGAGCCTTGATTTGCTCCATCTTATATTTATGAGTATTGGTATGGGTTGTATGAGCTTGTTGCCTATTGAAGAAGAGCTTCGAAAGTTATAGAGTCAAGAATGTCTTAATTTTTGGAATAGACAAGCAACGCTTTCGAGAATCGAATTGCTGTGTATTCCGTATTGAAGTCGGGTAGAAGAAGTCTTGTTCACAAAGTAATATTGTGAAGTGGTAGAGTGTGAATTGATGGAGATGTAGCGTTTGCTATCTAATCGAGACTATCCGAGCTTGAGGCGCTAGTATGGTTAAGGTACTCCGTACAGTTGTTCCCCACTTTTATTTCACTCCATATTCTCGTCAACGTCAACGACAACGATCTCAATGACAATGATAATGACCACTGAAAAACGACAACACTCAATAGGTCCAAACCCGAATCATGATGCCAAACTCTCACATTTGATGGTATTGTTTAGTCCAAATCACGTTAGGAGCTGATTTCATTGATGATACTTTACGAGGAGTATAAGTAAACTGTTCCTGCTGTTCTCTGAGATTACGTCTAACGGATATTCAAATTCTGAACTCGATAAAGGGGTGCGGTATCTAGATATTCATAGAGTTTATTGAGGGTATGAGTGGGTATTGGTCTTTTAAGAAGGGGAGCAAACGCCTGCCGGGTTGCTAGTTTGTGTAGAGTGAAGGTAGGAATAACTTGCGTGGGATGCTGGCAAGAGGTCGAGGATGCAGCAGTAAACCTCAGTATTATCAGCTTCTTTTCGGAGCTTGATGAAGTCTTCTAAAACTCTTGAAGGGAATTTCGGCGCATTTAAGTGATAGAGGAGCTTCCAAACAACTTGAGCAGAGGTCTAAGAAACTTGGCAAGGGTATAATGATGTGGTAGTAAATCATCGTTATAAGCTTCCAAAATCTTCTCACAATCTGGGAAAGACTATCATTTGATTTCAAGGACTCAATGCATGTATAAGTGGCGATTCAAGGACTCCATCAATGTTGACAATTGGGGAGTCATGAGGTATGAAAGAGGAAGGCTGTGAAGTTCCCTCCTCTTTAGTCTCGAAATGGAAGGAATGATGCCGGACCCAGATATCTATTATCAACTGGGTCCATGGGTAGGTCGTAGGTTATTCTCCATTCAAAGGACTTAATAGCTATTCCCTCATAAGATGAATCTATCACTCCAACTTCCAGTCCTGAAATTCTCATTTGTATCATAAATTTCTCTAATTGCCCGTCATCTCTTCATTGAACACTCCTGCTATTACCTACCTAGGTAGCCAGAGGCATTAAGTGACCCATAAAAGGCATAGGTCGCATGATAGCGAAAATTGTTTGAACCGAAAATCTGTCTTCACTTCATTCGCTTGGGGAAAACATGATTTGTTTATGCCGGCGGACCGATCGCGTTTTCATAATTACCTAAAATATCAACATCAAAACAAAAGAATCAACAACATCATACGACAAACCCTCGAGGGCCGATTCACTCGCAGTTACCAACTTCATTCGTTCTTTTATTGCAAAGTCTCTCGTTTCCTATATACCACGCTGAACACGACAAGAGTGCATTTTTCCTTTCATTTTCAATTCGACTCCAACTCAAGAAATTCTACATCATCAACGATACACGCGACTTTGACTATAGGATCCCTTGTTCCGCGCTGTACATCTCTATCTGGTACCAAGGACCATGAATGATTTCTCTTCTTAGTCTGCTGTCTCTCAAACGACCATTGAATTGTTTTTCTACTTTCCCCACTGAATCGTGTGTTGATATCCGGCGGCAAGTCGAGGCACCATCAACACGGTGAATACTTTAATAACCAAACCCCACATTTCTGTCAATCGATGCTTGTCAATAGGCAGTCTTTTTTAACATAATGTCTCATTCTGTGGTTGGGTTTGCGGATCTTCCAATTGCCAAAAACTTATCCAAGAACCCATATCGTCAACAACCAGTCTCATCTGATTACCCCAGATCCAGATCAACTTCTCAAGATGTCGAGTTTCCTTCTTCTTCCAATAAACCAACGCCAGTCAGAGCCGTCTTTGATGATCTGCATACTGCCCACTCCTCAATTACGTCAGGAAATAAAAGAACCTTAAGTGGGCGGCGTGCAATTTCACACAATCTCTTCGAACCACCCGAAAGATCCGATTCAGTACCACTCCAGAAGATAGAGAGAAAGCGCGGTACCAATGTCGAGTCGTTTCTTCAAAACATACCACTTCCTCCACCTCCTGCCGCCCTGTTCGGAGGCCGTTATGGGTCTGATGTTGAAAATTCCACACCGGTCCCTCGCTCAAGATCACAACGCCTTCCATCAACGGCCAAGGTCGAACCTGGCTCTTTGCTTGGCAACATGAAAACCGCTCTTACAACTATATCATCACCCATTACACAGGATTTAATAGACGAAGAAAATAATGCTCCGCATCGGCCACCAGAAAATCTCAACATTGCAAAGGGCACTTTTGGGAAGAAAGCGTCAGGTTACATGGCGCTTGACAAAGAAAATGATGAAAAGGATCCATCTACCCCAGAAGCTCGACAATCAGGTCATGGTGGAAATGTCAGAGGCAAATCAAGCATTCAATTTCAAGGTCATGACTTTCCTATTCCTCATTTTCCTCTTGGTGAAGTACTATCGGGCTCGTCAAGTAGTGATGAAGGAGGGAGTTTGGGTGATCTGACGCGTACAAAACCTCACAATCTGACACGGCATTCTTTGTATACACCAAATCAAGGAGAAGTTCAATCACCAATAAGCAAGAGTTTTTCTGACACAACTCCTCAGAGACGCAGCTATGATTTCCGTCGAGCTACTAGCACTGTTGGCAACATCTACAAGCATTATCTTCACTCCAGCGGAGGAGGGGCTGACACCGATAGCGAAGAAGAGATGAACGAGAAAAGCCCTCTACGAGGAGAAATTGCCACTCAAGATTCAGATCAACAACACTACATTCGCGAATTCGACCTAAATATGAGACTGGACTCTAAAGAAATGTTGCCCACCGCTCTTAATATACACAAACAACGCAAAGTCGTTAGGGTAGCTGAAGAGCCTAATAATCAGCCACCAACTCGTACTTTGCCCGAAATACCAATCCTTGACGTGCCAATAATTGCTCCAAATATATCTCTAGGAACCGGTCAACCTTCCTACGGCGATACACACAAACTCACTCAGACAACTAAAGGGGTATCTCGAAAAGTTTTGCAGCAGAGAACCAACGACATAGATTCTGATGTAGATGACTCTGAGGCAGGCGTCTCCGCGCAACTACATGTACCCTCGTTTCCCTTCGCAACGCCAAAAATTCAAGCCACTCCAAAAGTCATAATCTCTCCAGCAGATGATCCTTCGGTATATGGAGATGATCCTCATTGGACGGACCCGGTTATCATGCGACAGCCATTGGAGAGAGAAGTCAGCAAAGCCCTCCGTCGTGCTAGTGGCTATAGTGTCTATAGTATGGAAAGTGCATCAACTTCATTGACTCGCCGGAATGAGCATCCTCGACCTCAGAGGTCTGGATTAAATTTCTCAAGGAAAATCAACGTCGAGGATACACCCCCATCTGACTCCGGAAGCCTTAGCACTGAGCAAAGAGACTTCATAGCACAGGCGCAAGCCTTTTATGATCGTGGAGCAATTGCACCAAATTGGGTTACTGCTAATCATCAGAATGTTGTTCGCATCCCGATTAGTCACAGTGTTAACCTTCCAGATTCTCCTCCAGATTCTCCTAACGATCGACCTCATGAATCGTCCGAAAAACCTACCACACCTACTGAGGCCGAGGATTGGGAAACTGTGGCAGACAGTGCTGCAGGACCTTTTGGTCGTTCCAAACCAAACGAACCAATGATGATGGGAGGTCTTGTAAATAGAGCTGGAAGCAGCATTGCAGATAACTCAGATGATGGCACAGATAGTACGGAGCCACTACATATTGATGAGTATGGATCTTCGGACCGTATTGCGCATCACCCAGGCAATATTGAATACTATGGAGATTATCGCCAGAGAGACCTAAAAAAGACTCACATTCCTGTGTTTTTGCCTGTTTTCAGAGAACATAAGGTCAATGGATATCTTGCAGATTCAAATAGAACACGACCACCTCCGAATTATTACAACTACAATCCACAACCTCTTCTCAAAACTCATACCAATCCATTCAAATCTCCTCCGCCGAAGATGAAACCACCTCGTGGTCAAAACATCAATTTGATTCCGCCATCCCTACACACAAGCGAGGAAAGTGCAGACTTTACAAATTCAAATCAAGGCCAGCAAGTTACTTCCGGAAATAAAGGTCATGTAGATGATCGCTTGAGATTCGACTGGACAGGTGAACTGGAGCCAGGAATCGCTTTGGGTGGTTCTAGTGATAATCTACCACCGTTGAATAAAAAGCGATCCAGTTCGTGGCAATATGTTCTGGCCCTTGGTGAGAAGATTGCTAGTCCGAAGAGAGAACTATTCGCGACAACGTCAACTACCAGCAGCAAACACAAGGAAATCAACATCGAACTGAAGGCTACCGGTGCTTCAAAACCTCAAGGTCAAAAGCCTTTCATTAAAGGTCCTCCAGGTGCCTTCTATAGGGATTTACATTTGAACTCGAAGCATGAACCAAGGCGTGCTAGCTTGATTCAGGCAAAAAGACCTGCTAAATTTCCTGCTGAGAATAATAAAACAAAGGAGTACCCTACAAACACCCTTCGGCCTTTCGCACTGCTGGCATCTACTACTAATACACCTTCAAGCATCGAAGATCGTCCGATTGTCAAGCAACCTTCAACACCTGCTCGCAACAATAAGAACCGGGGTGCTGAAAGTGATAATCCGAATGACTTCATTTATCGATCACCTCTTGCTCCACCCAAGCGTCCAAGCTGGCAAGATTTGTACAGTTCTCGTCAATTGCAGGAAATTCGAAATGCTGCAATTTCGGACGGTTTCTTTGAATCCCAACCGGTACTTGGTAATAGCCCTCGTGATTCG